TTCGCACTCCCTGAAACTAGGTACGCGGGAGCGCTCGCAATTTTTTTTGGTGGGTTTTGGGCGCTGCTGATCTAAAACCACACAGAATCCATATTTCCTCCTACATCAGGATCTGTTCCGCCAGCAAAACATAGGCAACGTCACACAAAATCCAATCACCAGAATTATAAAATAAAACAACTTGGGGGGTACACCTATTTTGGGAGTTCAGGCTGTAAACCCTGCTGCAAAGCTGCGTACCGCCCTGGCTGCCATGAACTCTCGACCCCTCGGACATGCAACTTCTGCGCATGACCACCAAAAGAAACCGCCCAAGCAGAATACAAAGGCAGAGTCACACGAACCCAGACCAGGATTTGTGTTGAACTTGCAACATATCCATGAACCCCGAGCCACTCAACTGAACCCGTTGGAGCCACCTATAATTGCATGCCCTCCTATACCCAACCCAGGCGGCCACACATGTTTGCGCGGATACGGGTGCGCACTGTGCTTCAAAAAAAGGGTCGATGCATCTGTACGCATGTGCCTGTGACATCTTCATTGTGCTATATACGGGGCCCATGCCACCATGCACATCTACTTGGAATATATTGTAATGTATGTATACTACACTCCGAGTCCTTGGCGGATCTGCCCTTGCATGCCAAGCATAATGTGTGAACGTGGGTACAACATCACAACCACAACACATCCTGCATTCACGGTCTGAAACAATGAACACCACACAACGTTGAGCAGTTGAATCTCGGAAGCTCGGTATGTTTGGTTGCTATCATGGGGGTATAGAAGAACCCTCTGGCATGTATACATGCATATGCATTCTTAATCCTATATAAGTATGTGTATACTCACCTCACCGAGCATCCAAGATGGAAAGATCCGCCATGCTCCTCCGCTTGTCACAGACAGATGCTATAGCACCATTCCAGACCCCATGACGTGTGCTGCGGCGCTGGCAGGGTTGTGGTTGTATCATTATGTCCATTACGCCCATTGCATGTTGCATGCAGTTTGGATGAGGAACCCTGACAGTGCCAGCGAGCCACGGGGCCATCGAAAATCGTGCACGGCATCAGAATCTACCGGGCCTATTGCACGCCATGCATGCATTCATGATCCTCTATATGTGTAGACCGAATGGCCATGGCAGTGCAATGTTCAGGGTCCACCGCATGCAGCTTTATACCCCGTCACCCCAGACCTTCTGAATGCATGGCATGCCAGAATCTACAGCTTGCGGCACACGACTGTCGCCAGCTTGTTCATCGTGTCCAGTGCCGTGGTCAGCTGCTCCTGCACACGCATGCAGAAAGTTCATGCACACAAAGCCCGCACGCCCATGCACACACAGGCTCACACATGCAACGCCGAAGCGGAAGAACATGTCAACACACGCATGCATACATCCGTGCACTCCTGATTCCTCTGCCGTTCTTGATCGTGCTCTGCCGCTTGGCGCTGTCTCTTGGACTGCTCTCTGCGGCCTCCTCGCTCTCTTGGCCTGCGCCGTCCTCCTCCATATCCATGGAACTGCCCATCCTTGTCCACGAAGCCCCCCTTCACATAGCGGCCCGCGGAGCTGCTGTGGGATCGCGAGCCTCGCCACCCCCGCCCCTCCTCCCATGAGGCTGCAGGCCCAGCGCTGCTGCTTGAGCGCTCCTGCCACTCTTCCTTCGTCCATGCCTCATGCCCTCCATCCTCCTCCTTGGCCCACCCCCACCAGTCTGTGTCCTCGGGCTCCTTCACGCAGGCATAACGGTTTGAATTGCTCTTGCCACTTGTTCAACTTGCAAGACACGACATTGCAAAACTGTATCTCTTTGGAGTATATGGGTACACCTATAACCAGATAAATATATACATATCTACATACAAACCGCACTTGTGCAATGATTGCAGTCCTCCCATGTGGACTCCTCTTTCTTCACAGACCACCACTGCGACCAGTAGGCATCGGTCTGCGCATGCGACGCAGATTATGAAAACCCTTTATACCCTATGCAAACCTTCCATGTACATCTATACCCTTTATACACCAACTATATATATGTGTGTACATATATACACCTATTACATGAACCTTATATGAACTACAACTTTGGGTGATATAGATACATCTGTGCCGCGGAAACAATGTCGGATTATGAACGCCAGATCATGCCTCCGCTTGCGAGGGCTCCAGCCATTTGGCATCCTCAACCCCATGTTCCTCCTCCTCCTCTACCTTGACCTCCACCATCTCATCGAGATCGCCCATGGTGAGCGATCAAAGGTCAACCCTGCGTGCGAGTTGCTTGCGTCTGAGCCTGTCTGCATGCCTTGCATATACATGCGCATGATGCTTGTCGCACATGTCGATCCTGAGATGGAGCCATGCATCGGCCAAACATGCTGTCAAGCTTGCAATTACAACCATCACGCATGCACTCCTACACAGACATGCCCTGCAAACTGTCAAGGACGTGACTGCATGCATCAGAAAATTCGAGAAAAAACAGGCCATGAAACATGTTTTGCCGTGCCCCACACTTTCAAGCTTGCAACCTAAATTGGATGCATGTGGACATGTTCTCACGCAGGGAAAACACAGGAATCTGTCAGCAGTCCGTCCAGCCTGCAACTGTTTCTGAAGTAGATTCTTTTATGTGCGCCAAAGATGTTATATATGTTATAGAATATATTGCCTGCGCGACACATGCCCTGCACGCAGCCACACCCCATACTGTACAACTTCTTGTGCCTGCATGTTTTGGCATATATGTCGACCTTCAGTCGACATCTCTTACTGCATGCGCCGCTGCCTTGGGCTTCCGCGGTCTTCCCTTTGGTTGTTCATTCCTGGCTTCAAATTTGGCAGCCTTTTTGCGGCCTACAGGGCTTGACTCACGGATAGCCTGCCTCACATACTCCAAGTTGCCCTTGGACAACTCCATGTAAAGCTCCTGCCCCTTGACCCCCCAGAGCACCTTCGCGGACCTGGCCTGAGCTTCTCCTGCAAGCGGGGGCAGCTGCACTGCGACGACCCGGCCGCAAAGCCACGCGTCGTCCGCGCTGGCGCATCTAACTTTGTCTGGCGGTGCTTCGCCCGCGTCCATGGCAGCATTCGAGATGACTTCTTTCAGCCTTTTGTCACACGCTTCTTTGCGAAGCTGCATCATCTGCTCAAACCATTTTGTGTTGATGGTATGAGTGGGCTTCCCGCGATGCTTGTGCAAGTAGAGACTTCGGCCCGAGACGAACCTTGTTAAGTCTCTGCACCACTTTGAGAGCTTCAAGAATTCAGTGCCGTCGACGTGCTCCACCTCTGGCATCCATATGGTCTTGAGGGCACCTCCCTTGATGATCGTCTGCTTGCAGATTTCCAAGTCCGGCTCCGCCTCCACTTCAACAATGGGCTGCGCATCCACATCTGCTTCTGGCGCGTCGTGAGCTTGCATGAAGATGTCCATTTTTTCTAGATATGGGGATCGCTATACCGCTGACTGCTGATGGAGGCGAGCTATAGCCCTGCCTCTGGGTCGCGAGCAGATATACCCTGCAACCATGCATGCAAGCCAACATGATCATGATATGCTGCAGAGCATGCACCCAATGCAGAATGCAACTACGGCATGTTGCACTTCAACACTGGCCTTTTGCTTCTATGTATTGCCATCCGGGCAGAAAAGGTTCTGAATGCTGAGCACATCTCAGCTTTCGCACACACAGAGGCTCGACTTCCAAAACTGGACTGCATGGCCATATACGTTGGCATCTGCATGCTCATTTCCCATTATATATACATATAAATATAAAGCATGCCACGCATCGCCGGCGCGAGCCTTGCTGGACCCTTTTGATGTCAAATGCATTCGTTGCACCCATATTACGTACATATCCTCAGGTGAACACGCAGGACACATGTGTGAACCTTTATGTGTATACAAATGACAACCAGGGAAAATCCTATTATATGTGTATATCCATATAATCTGGGAGATTGTTACTGGGTCCTAGGTTTCTTACTGATGGGCACCGGTTGCAGCTCCTCTGGAGCTTCCTGCTTAGCAGGGCGATACAGGATCAAGGAGGCGCCTGCCTGGATCTTTCTGAAGTTCCGCACAAATGGCAAACAGCATGGGTCCTTGGGCTTCAAGTTGTGAATCTCCATGTTGGCATCTGCTCGCACAGTGCTTGTGCGCATGATCCACACGGGACTCAGAAAGCCACCTGCATTGTCACCTTCCTGCGGCCACACGGTGAATCCATGGATGTCCACCCGCATGCTGCAGCCTTGGACCTCACAAGTGCCAACTGTGATGGAAGAAGATGCCGTGGCATGGGTCTCTTCACAACATGTATCTTGCAGCTGGTGATCGGTAGCTGCAGCTCGCGAACTGCGAAGTCCTGGTTGGACTTCACGTCGCGCGGTTGTTTGCAAATGTCAACTGCGTTGTAGTTGACGGCAAGGTGTTCATGCTGGTCAGCCATTGCCTGCAGCACCTTGGCCTTCAGAATTGAGATCTCGAATTCACGGGAATTCGTGCCAGCGGAAAGGTGCCACTGCGTCAGCATAGTCACCACCTTCTTCGCTGCGACCTTCTTCCACTCGCCACGTACAAAACTTTCGGAGCTCACCTGGAACTCATCACTGGAGTCCTCTGCCACGAAGCGAACATGGTCCGCCGTGATTTCGGTGATCTTCCCACGCTTGCCGTCCACTTTGCGTTCAACTAGATCCCCCACTTCAAACCCTTTGGAAAGCACCCTTGCGGCGTTCACTATATTCCCATCATTGTCGAAGACGTGGATTGACCTTATTTATAATTGTATGTGGTGCACACGTACTATTTCGGAATACATGCATGCACGGCCACATGTCAAATCCTAAGCTTGCAACTCCTGCTTCTTGCTCGGGCTGCTTGTAGTAGAAGTCGCTGCAGTAGAGGATGCTTGGGAATCAGGTTGGTTGGCCCATGGGGATGCAATGCTGTACCCCTTCTCATTGATGGCCTGCATCAGAGCGTGGGCAGCCTCAGCCGCATCTCAAATCGCCTCACCTCCTTGGAGCTCTTGTTCAAGAAGATGGCCGCAATGTCACGGTGAAGCATGTGAAGCAAAGGCATGGCGACGCTCATGTCCACACCCTTCAGCAACCTGTGGGCCTGAGAAATCTTGTCCTCCAAGTCATCCAGCTTCCGCACATCTTTGGAAGCCATGGCCCTTCTGATGTCACTCGTGGTCACAGCTCGATCTGGGCCGCAATACGCCAGTTTGAGGATGGCGTGTCGCAACACCACCCGTTGCTTTGGCCCCTGAAATCAAAGTATATCTCATGAACAGGTCCTATATACACATACATCTTTATAAACATCACACCAACTATAAGTTCAAAGATTCCTGCATCTACGTGGCCTTGATTTCTGCGGACAGCGCGTCCCAGAACTCCAGCCCTAAAACTCTGTGAGGATGGCCATGTGCTCTGATGTGCACCTCGGAGCCTTCCAGGAAGCTGCCCCCGCACTTGGCGACAAAGCGAAAAATGAACGGCACAACCTGGGGGTTGGGGGGCTTGCTGCGCATGATCTGCTTCGAAATGTCCTCGAAGGAGATGTCCTTGCGGCCGCTGGTTGAGCAGAAGCTCTCGATGGCGCGGCTAATTTTCTTAGCAATCTGTAGCTCCTTATACCAAGGCGTTCCTGAAAAAAACCAAGTTTAGCTCGTAGCTACGCCAAGGGAGGTAGATATATACAGAACCCCTTTATAATAGACAGCTTTTACAAATGCTATGCATGGCTTCGTCTTCTGGCTTTGCCACCTGGACTGCTGCGTTTCCGGCAGCTTGCATCAACCCAGCAAACTCCGGCATGTTCGCTTGCACCTTGTGGCTGACGATCACCCAGGACACCCCCCCCCTCACAGCCTTGGCAAAGGCTGGGTCGATCTTGCCCAGAAGCTCGAGGTTGAGCATTCCACCGACGGTGACACGCGGCTCAGTGTGAGCTGCACCGAGGGCGAAGCCACGCATGACCTGGTTGCTGTGGCTTCCAACCACGCTTGCGTATCTAATCATTTCGGGTTGGATGGCAGCCAACCTGCCTTTCGATTCCTCAGCCAATCGCACGTTGAACAATCGAGTGCGCTCGCTGCTGCTGTCAGAAGTGAGTTCAATACAAACTCCTCGACATTCGCTCTCAACGAAGCCCAGCGCCAGTATGGAACTCAACAACTCTGAGACATGGCCTGCCGATACGCCAAGACCATCTCGGTTTTGTTCGTGGATCCTGCAGCTTTCCGGTACACAAAGCCTATACAGTTCTAAAAAAGGCACGCAGGTCCAGAACTGACAGCAAAGAATCATATTTAAGCACAATTAAGGTTCCCTATGCATTCGCACTGCAGGCGTTGACGCCACGCCAATCCGGTGCTCAGCATATAGTCCATGCACTCCTGCATGCTCTGGACCAGTGACCCATGGGCTGCCCTCTCCAGGCAGCTTTTGATCTTGCCAGCAGCTTCTGCGGCCAGCGCCATGTTGCACGATCTACTGCCAGAAAACTCTACTGTGACGCTGCGAGTCCTGCCCTGCAGCGGTGCTTGCGAGTTGTAAACACCCTGCAAGCTATTTGGCACATGCAGAATGCATGCACATGACACAATTCTTCTTTACTCGCGGTTGCAGAGGTGCTTTCAAACAGGTGCCATCAAAAACCTATACTTGCGGCAACCAGAGATCCATCGTCCTGCGTCACAGCAACAAGAAAAACTTGTAACCAAATAGACATCCTATATGCTTTTCTACACATATGCATACACACCATGTATAATCCCGAATAGAGAACGATGCATGGAACATGGTGCCTGCAAAGCCTTCAAAAACTCAAATGGACACTGGGCTAAAATATGTCCGCAGTAGATCCTCCTCATAGAGCACTTCAGGACCGCCAGCCCTTGGCCGCTTGGACCGCTCATTCTCATCAGGGCGGCAACGCCAAACTAAGCAAGCAGCCTCAGGCAATAGTTTGCCTGTCACAGAACGGATTACGTGCAAAGCCTGCTGATCACTAATGAGCTCGAGGGCGAGGGCCTCCTCACGGAGGGCAATCTTTAAAAATCTGACGTCCAGATTTGTGGAGACGTCGAGGTCCACTTCCAACAAAGACGAGCCAGACAATGAAAAGCCATAGAACCTTACTTAAAATGACTTCAGCAAAAAACATGACAGATAAATGGACGTGAGCAATTGAAGTATATATCTTCATCCATGGCACCTCACACGCTGCTCTTGCTGAAGGACTTCTGCGTGAACGCTCAACAAAAGTGCCGGTCCAACTGGTCTGACCATCAAGCGCTCGCCATGGACATTCACGAAGATCCGACGTTGGTCCACCACGTCGTGAACGATCAAGCGCCACGGCTGGTAGCCGCGGGTGCTTGAGCCACGCATGACGATATTGTCACGGTGGCCATTGATCCTCTCCTGTTGAGTCGCAGGCACCCTCTCCCATGCCCTGTTCTCGGGCAAGCCATGCTCCCATGTCCATCCTGCTGGCAGGCGGCAGAACTCGTACATGTTGCCTGATGCAGGTTTCGTGCTGCGAGCAAAAGACCCTGCAGCACACACGCGAGCTCCAGTTCGAGCCCTGCATGCTTCTTTGCAAGTAGATGCGAAGAAGAAATGAAGCAAAAATTTCCCCCAAGCCCTACATAAAGATAAACATGTACATGGGCAAGCACAATTTTTGGGTGGCCATATGTAGAGAAACACCCACATAAACAAAAACAAAAACAAAATCAAACCCCGAATGGAAGAACACTGCATGGCAAGCTGCTTGCAACATCAAAGCCCTTGGGCCAACACCCCCCCCAACAAAAAAACAAATTGCAAATAAACCTATAACATCAAATCAACCCACAGCCGAAATGTCGTTTTCACCCCGTGCACAACCCTGTAGATAAGTGAAATGACCCCGCCTATACTACTCACAACCCTACCCAAACTAAGAAGAGACCCCGCCTCTTGCGGGATCTGCGCAGCACGCGCCAGCGGCGCCACACCGGTACAAGCTTCAAAAATGGAGAGGACTCATATAAACCTATATACATGCCACACATATAATTCTCTCTAATATTCAAAGATATTTCCCTATATGTGAGCCCTCCCCATTTTTGAAGCATGGCAGGAGCTTTGGGGCAGGTGGGTTTCAAGGGGTTCTGGAACAAACTATAGGATACAAGGATGTCTTACATTTCAATATAATATACATAGTGTTACACTGGCCGCTTTGAGTTTTTGGCAACATTAGGTTTCAAAACATTTCAAAAAACGTCATCACACATGCCCCCCTTCATGAAAAGGTACATGTCAAAATTGCCAAATCCTTGCAAAGCCATTGGCGCAAACATTTTCAAACATTTGTGTTTAGCCAACGGTCCCGCTCAAAAATGTAGCATCCCGACATGTAAGACACGGATATAATGCATATGCTCCAATGCACACCTCTCCTGCCGGCAAATGACAAAACTCGGACGGACAGAATCCTTGCACCACTGACTTTCCGAAGCTGCGCAAGCATGAACATGCCATGTGAGCACCACAAGCAACATCCATGCAACCAGAGCCACCCATGCCCAACACAAGTACATATATCCAACCACGCATGAACATGTCGGCATCAAACACATGGTCTCATTGCATGCATGGGGCTCCATGCGACCAGCACTTTTGAAGCAATCCATGCCCAACAAAATCATGATGATATTCGCTTGTTGGGCTGCTTTCGGCTGGCCAAAGTGTACCGGCTAAGTCGACTTAGCGGACTTATGGCTAACCCCGCTAAGTCGACTTAGCCGACTTAGCTTATAAGCCGGCTAAGTCCACTTAGCCGAGTTAGCCATAACCCCGCTAAGTCGACTTAACTATGTCAGCTAAGTCGATCAGGCTAAGTCGACTTAGCTGGTTTAGCGCTATGTAAGTTAAGTCACTTATATAACTGGGTCAAATCCTTAGCAAGTCGCCTAACTCCTTAGTAACCCAAGCGATCTTCCAAGTAGGTCACAGCAACGTAGACTTTTTCCCAGAACGAATGCACGCAGCACAACGCTGAAGCGCGGTTGCCCGAAAATGTGCGAAAATTGTCAGCAAGAAGCAATGCTGCCGCAAGGACTGCCGCAGGACATGTGACAAAGCCTGACACCGACAGCAGCTGACAAGCAGAAGCCGAAATAAAGAGTTTGTGGCATCTCGGGCTTCTTGCCCAGAAACTAGCGAGGGCTCAAGTTCAGCGCCTTGCTCAAGTTAGTTTAGAATTTCACCACCGTAGCTTCCATTCAAATTTCTGCACCTACCCCGAAGCAGGAAGTCCAGGACGAACCAAGTGATGTTGTTTACAACTGGCTCTGAAGTGACGTCCTTAGATGGCATTCGAGGCAAGTGAGGCAAGTGATACAACTTGCCTCTCAGCAGATCTGGCCGGGCTTCAAATTCGATCGTATCTTCCACCAGGCTGCCACCCGACGGGTTTTCTTTCACCAGGTGGGTGTGCACGAAACCACCGAAGAAAGGACCGAAGGCTTGTTCCTTGTCGGGTCTACAGGGACTACAGAAAACGTGCTCACTGCACCTTTCAGCGGTCAGGGTAGTGGCAACACGTCATAATAATCATGATTGCTGGACAGCACCATTATACACGGGCAAGGCGCGTATGTGAGCTGATACTTGGCTGGCGCAGCATCTGTATTTCCCACATTGTTGTATCTCTCGCAATGTGTGACTTTGCTTGTCCAAGGAAATGGAATGACGAAGGCAAGCCTAAGAGCAACAAGCTTCAGCTGCGCTTGCACATGCTGCAAGCGGTCATGAGACATCTTCCTGCCAAAAACGGAGCGGGCTCAAATCACTGGTGAGGCAAAGCCACATCCAGTAGTTGAAGAACAGCGGCAACTTCAACTGCTGCTCCTGAACCATCAGCATGCCTTCGTCTGCTCTGCAAAGAGATCTTGCCTAAACTCCTTCATATCTCAGCTTCGAGTCCTTGAGGCGCTCTGGCTCTGATTTGGCCAAGAAGTCCTCTATTGCCTGTCAGGCTCACAAAGGCTGCCTACAGGAGCCATGGTTACATGCGAGCTTCTGAATCTTCACATAAAAACGCATATATGGTAGCTAAATCCCTACCCTCAACTCACCTACACTAATGGCCTTCAACTCGCTTTTAACGCCTGAGATCTCAAAGCATTGGCAACTATTAGGACCTTATTAGGATGTCGCGCGTCCCACAACACCCAATCCACAGAGGGAGAAAGAACACCACATTGAGCATGCGTTTCGGTGTACCCAGTTCTACCTGGAGCGGAACACCACGTGTCTTGCGACAGAGAAGGCTGAGACAGACGGAGAGGAAAGAGAGGAGGGAGGGAGGGAGCAAGGGAGAGACCAAAAAGAGGGAGAGATAGAGCGAAGGAGGGATGGAGGGAGACAGAGTGAGATGGAACACAACGGCAGTAAATGTTCGAAAACAATTTTTCCAAGAGCTCTTGTTTATTTCGATGCAGGTCTTACACTCGCTAGGTGACTCTTATTGAACTGTACCCCATACTATACCAGCAGGGTGGATGCGAGAAAGACAAGAGTTAGATTTGAATGAATTAATGACGGCTGAAGGATCCGCAAAACTGCAGCTTCTGACAAAAGATTACTACATGAATGCCAAAATGCTGTTCCATTCTTCTTTCTGTTCTTACTATTATATTACTCGTATGTTATTATCATATTACTACTACACCCCTACTATATATATATCTATCTATTGCGGTTATCACTCACTGTTACTATATGTTTATACGGCTGAAGCCTTGTTTGTACACAACTCACAGTTCTTCCACCTGCAGATCATGAGCTAGCAATAGGGTTTGTAGGGGGGGGGGAGGGGGTATGCAGGGACTAAAACCAAGCGGAAACTATCACTACATAGTATAAGGTTTCGGGTTTGGGGATTATCGGACTATACTCTTACACCTGACTACTGGTTGCTGCCCTGGATCCTAGATCCCTGGCATCCCTGAGGATGCATATACAAGCTTTCCTGACATATTTGTTCTTTTATTTGCGATGCCCACGTGAGCAAAAGTCTAAACAACTAGTACCCCCCTTAATAACCCCTATAACACTCCCCTATACAACTCGCTTGAAGCTGGTTAGACTATAGCTCACATGGGATAATATGGGATAGCTGGTGCAATCCCGCAGCCTCCTGCGATTGCTTTCGGATGATCAGGCGGAACCAGAACCTCAAGGGCCACTGGTCAATTGACCGCATCTTAGTCATGATCCCAGTTCACGTCTGAAGCGACTGGATTCAATTGGGCATGTCAAGGATGGAAGCTCAAGCAGCTGTGTCTTACAATGAAGCCCCCTAGCTGTCAGTACCCTCAAAAAGGTCTGGTGTTTTGAGAATCTC